TTTGCCAGACGACCAGATGGCACAGAAGATTTGTCTGTATGTTAATTTATGCGCTTGAAGGACCGGGCATATCCGGGCATCTTCTGGATCTTGGCAAAAAACGGCATTTTTTCAAAAAATATTTCAAGTAAAAAAATGTTCGAAATAGGAAACACTACAATATAAGTAGTATTGCTAGTTTTTCAATCATTCTCGTTAGGCAATATCGGCCGAGAAAAATCGTCAGAATCGTAAATTTAAGCACCTACCCAAGAAATTGCAATTCTGGCCGAAAGCGGCATTTTTTTCAAAAAAAGTTTCAAATAAAAAGTGTTCGAAATAGGAAACACCACAACATGAGTAGTATTGGCAAATTTTTATTCATTCCCGTTAGCCCAAATCGGCCGATAAACATGGACAGAATCGTAAATTTATACATACAGTAAAAATTGCAATTCTGGGCGAAAGCGGCACTATTTCAAAAACCATTTCAAATAAAAAGTGTTCTAAATAGGCAACACTACAATATGAGGTGTATTAAAGATTTTTCATTTATTCTCGTAAGTCCAAAACGGCCGATAAAAATGGTTAAAATAGTAAATTTATACAGTTTCAGTAAAAATGGCCATTCTGGCCGACAGCGGCATTTTTTCAAAAAAAGTTTCAAATAAAAAGTGTTCGAAATAGGCCACACAACAATACGAGTGGTATTAAAGTGTTTTTCATTCATTATTGTAAGTCCAAATCGGCTGATGAAAATGGTTAAAATCGTAAATTTATACAATTTCAGTAAAAATGGCAATTGTGGCCGACAGCGACACTTTTTCAAAAAAAGTTTCAAATAAAAAGTGTGAAGACAGGCATAAGCTATAATTTGAGTACTTTTTTAAATTTATTGAGTTATCATGAGGCACGCTAGAGCAAAAATAAAATGTCCAAAAATCGCCCAAAAACTCGTAATTGTGACCGAACAAGACATTTCTCGGAAAAACGTTTCAAACAAAAAATGTGGGGAACGGGACAAGCTAGAATATGATGGTACCTTCATCCAGTTCACTCTTTCAATAGCCCACTGGGGACGAAAAGTGAAAGACCCTTATATTTACCTAATAACCTTCTAATATTTTACGACATTCTTCTTAAAGGGCTACAATTAATAACTCAATTCCGAGGCTCACTATTTCAGTTATCTCTGTTTGGGGACGATGATGTGCCCAATCAGGTGGAGCAATCTTAGTGGACTGTAGTTTTTCTAATTTGTCTCCACAGGCGCACTGGAGGCTTAATTGTCGGTTGGAG